GTCCCTTTTGTGAAGCCATGCTGATTCTGCTTGATTAGATTATGATTTTCCAAACGTGTTGCTGTTATTCCCTTAACTTATTCCAACATGGGTACAACCACAAGATGTAAGGCTAATTGGCTTGTAGCTATTTGCTTTTTGCCTGCCTTTCTTTCTGAATATTGATGTCACATTGGTGGTTTTCCAATCCTCAAATCCAAAGATGTTTAGAAAATTACAATCAATGCAAGCACTACAAAAATAGAAATTGCTGGAAAAACTCAGGAGGTCTGGCAGCATTTCTGGAGAGAAATCAGAATTAATGTTTCAGGTCGAGTGACCCTTCCTCAGTGCTCAGAAGTTCTGTGGAAGCATCGCTCAACCTGAAACGTTACCTCGATTTCTCTCCAGAGATGCTGCCAGACTTGCTGAGCTTTTCCAGCAATTTCTTTTGATTTTTAAATGCATCCACCAGCTCTGTAAATACTTAATTTGGAATCCTCAGGTGCAAGCCCTCCGGGCCAGAGGACTTGCCTACCTTTGGCCCTGTCAGTTTATTTAATACCACTACTCTAGTGATAGCGATGGTACTTAATTTCTCCTCCATCTTCTTTAGTATAGGCTTATTTCAGGTGTCTTCCATCTTAAAGATTGATGCAAAAATAATATTTCTTTGTTTCCCATAACTATTTCCTCAGGTTCACTTTCTAAGAAGCCTCTGTTCACTGACCGCTCTTGCTTTTTTATGTATTTAAGGAAGCTCCTATTATCAGATTTTAGTGTTTGCTAGTTTGCCCTCACTTATCTTCTCTCTCTATTATCTTTTTTAGTCCTCATTTGAATTCTGAATTTACCCCAGTCTATGGGGCTATCACTGACTTTGCCTTTCTTTTATACCTTTTCTTTCAACTTCATACTGTACTTGCTTGGTTAGCTGTGGTTGGTTTCATCCCACTTTTAGAATCTTTCCTCGTTTATTGGAATCCATTTTTCCTCCGTCATGAATTACCTCCTTTAAATGCCTGCCACTGGTTGCTTACTGTCTTTCCTGCCTGCCAGTCTGTCTGCACAGTACATGATAGCTAACTCTTATTCTGATATTTTCTTTGATCGAGGGCAGACTGAGGGGGGACATAATTGAGATGTATAAAATTAAGGGGCATAGATAGGGCAGACAGGAAGATAATTTTTTGCATTGGTGACCAGGAGCATAGATTAAAGGTAACGGGCAGGAGGTTTGCTGGTATGTAAGGAAAGCTTTTTTTCTCTAGAGGGTGATAGGAATCTGGAACTCACTGCATAATAGGGTGGTAGAGTCAGGAATCCTCATAACATTTAAGAAATATTTAGATGTGCATTTGTGATGCCAAAGCATACAAATCTATGTGCTAGGTGCTGGAAAATTGATTTTGAATAGTCACGTGGTTTATTTTTGACTGGTGCAGATTTGGTGGGCTGAAGGGCCTTTTTTGTGCTACAGACTCTAGTTCAACACCTGAAATTCCTTGCCTGAATTAAGTGTTTGACAGATAACTGCCACATTTGGAAAGCTGACTGTTTAGCTAGGCTACTTTAATTTCCTGAAAAGGTATTAGTTCTAGATCTGAATCTGACTTTTACTCTATAATTGAACTTGCATAAAATTTACCAGTTGAATTCCCATGAGTTAAATTCCTAGATATGATTCTGCCTCACTCCAATGAAGCCTGTCTCTCTGACCACTTACATTTGTACCACTTCACAATATCATAGCGGACTAGATGTGCTGCCATTGCTTGAATTTCTATTTATTGAACTTATGAACATAGCAACTCCATGCAGTTCATATGCTCAAATAGATGTCATAGGATCACTTCTGAGCCCAATCCTCACTACATATCCATCAGGTTTCACAAGAAAAAGCACTTTTGATGGAATGACTCCTAACCCTCCACCCCTTGCATATTCCCAATACAAAAATGCCATTTTTGAATTTGTAGTTGCATGTAAGACTTTCCTTGCACACTTTTTAAAGAGGCCCAATCCCGTGCTCAAGTTCACCTTTGAAATGAACAGTCAAACTCCCTTTCTTCAGGGTGCTAGTTTGAGAAATCTGCGAGTTGTTTCTTAACTACAGTGTAGCACAAGCCCACATTGACAGTCATAAGTGATGGGAATCCTTCCTGTTCTACACACTACATATTAGAAGATTGGTCTTATTGGCAACCTCGCAAGCAAGCCTGTTGCTATTTTGAGTGTCATGTAAGCTTGATGCTGAAATTAGATGCATTGGAACTATCCTGTGGGTTACTGGTTACCCTATATATTGTGTGAGCTCACGAATGGGCCGAAAGCTTTCAATCCTGAAAGGTGCCCAGTCTACCTCCTATCACCCTGGATGGTTTAAGTGTCTGAAAGATTTGAACAACAATTTGAGCGCACAAGGAGTACTGCGATGTATGAATTTCACTAGAATTGTGAAACCAGGGTATATAGGCCTTTCGGTCCAATGATTGGATCATATAAACAGAAACGTTCCTTCAGCTGTTTGCTATTGTGGCTCTGTTTAGTGAACATAAACTTAACAGCTCATACCAGGTAAAGCCAAGCGTAGGTTCTGTTTATTTAACGTTTATTACAGGGTTTCTTAGCTGTCACCTTCATTATAAAAGTTCAGCAAACAGTGTTGCAGGAAATCGTTCCTGCAGCTTTCTCACATTACATTCTACAAGCTGGACTTTGCGATCACTGCTGGTGACATGTTTTGCATCCTGGTTATTTTCTCATTAGCATACTTCTTTCTAAAGTGAAGCTGTAACATTCACGACAGAGTACTGACTGTACCCAGCTAGCTTGTGCTTGTCAAACTCTGAATACAGTGCTCAACGTTGGAGGTCATTCTACAATTGGGCAATACGTGCCAAGCAATCCTGTTTATGCTAAGAATTGTACTAGCAACTTAAGATTGTCACAACCCCTCTATGTGGCTTGCTTGTGTATGCTAGAAGCGAGATGTATTCACGCTATGGACCCTGTCCTTTGAAAACAGAGAATTTGTCCACCTTAGTGCATCTTTTTCAACTGAATAAAAGCTTGAGGACAGCCTTTGTCTGGTGCATACTCATAGCAAATCCCTTAACCAATCATAGTCAACTTGCATGTTTAGAATTTAGCCTGCGCTTACTGACAGCAAGGAGAATGCCATTTGTAGCAATATCTCTTATAATTACACATATTAACGTTATTTGAATGAAATAGTAAATGGGATTACAAAGTATGAAACAAAATTCAAGTTTCATTTTAAATTTCAACAATTGGCTTCATTCACATTTGGCAGCAATCAGTGCTGCATTAGTTATGAAAATCGATTAATGAGATTATTTTAATAAATGACTACATTGTGATAGGCTGCACTGGCTGACGCAAAGGAGCATGTGCATGAGGGCTTAATATAGTATGCGTGAATTTGTGCATGTGTGTGGTGCATTGGTGTCACCAAACAGATCCGTGAATTTAATCAAAAGCTTGGCAATTCACTTGTTCCCTGATATCTGGCAATTCCCAGAGCAAGCAGGATCTACTTCCCAACCAATCAGCAGTCTCTTGTTAGCAGTGTAAATTATTATTTCCTTTGCAATTTGGTATTCTTGGTATTATACTGATGAATTGAGTAAAAAGAATCAGAAGTGGTTTGTCTCTTTTATTAATCAATACTCTAGGCCTGTATGACCAAGTGACTATTTAAATGGACCTTCATCTTGATCTTGGTAGTGATTCACCTGATTTTAAAAACATTTATTTGTCATTTGGCTTGAATAGTTTTGAGTTTTTGAAAAATATTTTAATAACAATGTGTTGGTTATTTCTGCATAGCAAAAGTGAAGAAATTGTAATTCTTGGTGTTTCTACATTTTGGTTTAAATTTTCAAATTACCTTTTGATATCTGTGTTTAAATATGTAATTATACGGCCTGTTACTTAGTAATTTTCTAATTGGCATGCTAGGCCTGAAACTGGTTTTCTGTTACCTGATGCAGAACAGAAAATTCTCAAGACTTACAATGTATTCACATTAGAGTGGAAGCAATAGTTGCATGATATCTTTTATCTTAGTTATGTTGTGAAATGGTTTTTGAACTAGATTCTGTTTGGTTACTGATACAGTGAACAAGAAGTGAATATAAAACTCTACGTAATTGCAGCCATAAATTAAAGCAGGCAAAGCTGGAAATGTAGCAGGTCCACTGATTATCTGAAAATGAAAACACAGGTTCATGTTTTGGATGAAAGATGTTTAACGTCAAACAGTAAATCTGTTAAACTGGCATTACTTATCAAATAAGCACTCAGGCCAATCTTGCAGGGATATTGGCCTTTCTTTTCTCCTTCAAATGCTGTTTAATCAGAACATTTCTGGCATTTTTTGTTTTCATTTGGTTTCTTGTGATTATTTGTGCTTGTTTTCAACAGAGTGATCTCTTGACATTTTTTCAAATCTAACCAAAGCAATGTGCTATAAATACTGGAAACTTAATGACCTTCCAACAGAGCTGGAAGAAATCACTGGTGTTGATGTTCTTTTAAGTTAATTAAAGTGCAGAACATGAAAAAGTGGAGAAAATGGGAGAGGCCCATTGCTGCTGATGCTTCTGCTTTTACCGTTTATACCTTCTCTGATCCAATGCTTTATTTCCCTATTGTTCCATTACCGTTCTGTTTTTTGCCAACATTTTTTTACTTAAAACCACTTTGAACCTGCCCCGTCACAGACATACCTTTTTTTGTTTCCTCCACCTCCATCTCCACCTAACAGTTTCTTTCTCAAAAAATGCTGATTTCGCCACATCGGTTTTCCCAGAGTTTTACGTTTTTCTTAAGAATTCAAGCACACTGCATTGAAAATGCTTTTCAAGTCTTAAGTTCAATTTCAATCTGTTATCCTAGTAGGTTTAACATTGAAGGAGAGATAGTACGTGACCCTTTTGCAATGCCAATGTTAGGTTTTTGTTTTAAAATATTGTTTTTGTATTTTCAAATTTCAGGGGCAAACACTCAATGAATTCTTCAGTATATGTAAAAATTGTGGGAGAAAAAGTGAAGATCATACAAAATGTGAAAACTGTAGAAAGCCAATACCCAAAGATGCAATAAGACGACCCAAGCAAGTTTCTGATTCCGGCTATGTTGGGACACCTCAGCCACGCCCATCGATTCATGCATGTACCCCAACACAAGCTGAGGGCAACATGGGTGTTAGTACCAAGACGTTTTACAACAAACCTTCTCTCGATATAATATTGACTACAGGACCCACTACTAAACTATATTCTACCAGGAGCAACTTTTTACAAGCTAATGGCGGCATAGGGTTGATGGAACGTACAGTTGTATATGGAGCTGGACGGATGGACTCCAAGAAGCCTGCAATGAATGATCCCAGTAAGTATGGACTTTTCCACACCAGAAATGTAAGGGTATGTTCCAGGGATTGTGCACTGTGGCACTTTGCATGATAATGCCACATGGTAAGAATATTGGTGTAGCCACAATTTGCACAGATAGTAACACTTAAAATGTAAGGAAATAAGATCCTTTTTTTTAAGAAAAGAAGTTGCATTTGGTAGCATAACAAAACTGAGGATGATTGAGTGAGTTTTCTGTCAGTTATGCCCGAAGACTGCACTGATACAAGTGACAAGTATTGATTGTGGACACAACCTGTAATGTGATTTATATTCCATTTAATTGTTTTTTTCCTGAAGGAGCAGTTCTGTTGTACTTTTGAAGACTCCACTTGCTAAGTAAATAAACTATTTTGTGGTAGATACTTAATTCGAAACTTGCACACTTTTATGACTCATTTGGTTACACTGTGGTGATGATCTCCACTGCTTTCAAACAAAAAAGAAGGAACCTTCCACTTCACAGCAGTATCTCTTACTGCTGAGAGTCATGTAGCTGAGCATTTCATCTAGTTCAATCTTGCATGTTGAATGTCCTGATGAGTTCAAGGCAGAGAGCTTCAACAGTGTCCCTTTTCTTAATCAATACTTAGCTTCTGTACTTCCAGGCTACTGTCTCTTATTTGTAGGTGTGTTCAGGACCTCATCAGTGAAGGTGATCGTGAGGTGCAAGCAGCTGTTTGAAACTGTTTGAAGTCTAAACTTTGACTAGATTCAGCAAAGTTTATGAAAGAAAACTCTTGTATTTGTAATGCACTTTACAGTCATTTTTCATACCTTGGAAGTGCGCCACCATGTATTGAAGTCTTTTGAATACTTCATTTTAGTGCAGAATATAATTTAATTTATACTGAAAAGAAACTTAACCTGAGAGGAGAAAGATTTAAATCGACCAGAGAGGCAAAGTTTTCACATAGGTGGTGCACATGTGGAATGAACTGCCAGAGAAAGTGGTAGATGCAGGTACAGTTACAACATCTAAAAGACGTTTGGAAAGATACATGAATAGGAAAGATTTAGAGGGTTATGGGCCTAGTGCAAGCAAATGGGAAACTTGGTTGGCATGGACGAGTTGGATTGAAGGATCTGTTTCTGTGCTATATGACTCTGTGACTTGATAACTAGTGGCATGTTACTGTCTCAAATACCTCTTCAAGCAAAATTTGACACAAGACCAGACTGCTTGTTTAGTAGGGGTGAGCAGCAGTGTATTTAAAGCAATAGGTTAAAAAATAAATTGCAGGTTGATAAAAACCATGAGAAACATGATCTGAATGTTTAAATGCTGTTTATGTGTAATCTTGAAAAAGTGACTTTGCAATCAACAGTTTTCATGAAGTACACAGCAGATGTTGTTTACATCTGCCCTTCCATTGACAAATTTTCCACCATATCAAGTTTTTTTTCTTGTACCTGTCTACACAGAAATGATGCAGAATGAGGTCATAAAGTGTTTGGAAAATAAATGACTATTTTAATTGTGATCCATCTGTGGAGTAGGAATCATTATAGCTATACCAATGCAACAATGATGAATGACTACAACTTGGTGCATGTTGGAATACAATATAATTTAGCGTCTGGGTCAAAAATGAATGACAATGTAACACTCCTTCAGTCGTGTGCTGATGCTTTAGTCCATATTGCTGAGGCAGTCGGGTAGGTTTGAAACCAAGCAGTCTAAGAATTAAAAATTAAGTTAATATGCTACCTGATGTCATTATACCTAGAAAGCAGAGCCAAACAATATGTAGTTATTGCCTTAGTGTTTACCAAGGGAATAGGAGCTCCAGTCACTGCTTTTGACGGGAGACGTTTATTGTTGAAACAAATTGATGCTGTTATTATTAATACCACCATCAATACTGTGGTATCATCAAATTTTATGGCATCAAAGGAAGCCATTCCATGGACTGTGCCTGCTCTGATGTTTAAAAAGGAGAAAAATGTCAATAGAAACAGCTTTCATTCAATGTTGTAAAAGGGGCAGACTGCTATTTGTACAAGCTGTGACTGGGAGTTCTAATTCCAGCATGTTGTAATTTGTTATTGTAATTCAACTGTTATGCCCATACGTGAGCTAATCCTAAAATTTGATTTTTGTTTTTTATATTCATTTGTGAGATGTGGGTGTTGCAGGCCAGCATTTCTTGCCCATCCTTAGTTGCCCTTGAGAAGATGGTGGTGAGATGCCTTCTTGAACTGCTGCAGTCCTCCTGCTGTGGGTTGAGCCACAATGCCATTAGGGAGGGAATTCCAGGATTTTGACCCAGCGACAGTGAAAGAACAGAGATATATTTCCAATCAGGATGGTGAGTGGCTTGGAGGGGAACATGGAGATGGTGTTGTTCCCATATATCTGATGTCCTTGTCCTTCTAGATGGATGTGGTTGTGGGTTTGGAAGGTGCTGTCTAAGGACCTTTGGTGAATTTCTGCAGTGCATCTTGTAGATAGTACATACTGCTCCTATTGAGGGTCGGTGGTGGAGGGAGTGGAAGCTTGTGGATGTTATGCCAATCAAGCAGGCTGCTTTGTCCTGGATGATGTCAAGCTGCTTGAGTGTTGTTGGGGCTGCAATCATCCAGGCAAGTGGAGAGTATTCTATCACACTCCTGACTTGTGCCTTTGTAGATGGTGGACAGGCTTTGAGGAGTCAGGAGATGAGTTACTTGCCGCAGTATTCCTAGCTTCTGGCCTGCTCTTGTACCCACTGTTTATGTGGTGAGTCCAGTTGAATTCCTGGTCAATGATGACACCCAGGATGTTGATAGTGGGGGATTCAGTGATGGTAACACCATTGAATGTCAAGGGGCGGTGGTTAGATTGTCTTTAATGATGGTCATAATCTGGCATTTGTGTGGTGCGAATGCCACTTGCCACTTGTCTGCCTGAGCCTGGATATTGTCCAGATCTTGTTGCATGTGAATATCGACTGCTTCAGTATCTGAGGAGTCTCAAATAGTGCTGAACATTGTGCAATCATTGGCGAACATCCCCACTTCTGTCCTTATGATGGAGGGAAGGTCATTGAAGAAGCAGCTGAAGATGATTGTGCCTAGGACACTAGCCTGAGGAACTCCTGCAAAGATGTCCTGGAGCTGAGATGATTGACCTCCAACAACCACGACCATCTTCCTATGTGCGAGTTTGCCCCCGATACCCATTGATTCCAGTTTTGCTAGGTCTCCTTGATGCCACACTCGGTCGAATACAGCCTTGATATCAAGGGCTGTCACACTCCCCTCACCTCTGGACTTTGGCTCTTTTGTCCATGCTTGAGCAAGGCTGTAATGAGGTCAGGAGCTGAGTGGCCCTGGCAGAACTCAAACTGGGGGCCACTGAGCAGGTTATTGCTGAGTAGGTGCTGCTTAATAGCAATGTTGATGACACCTTCCATTACTGATGATCGAGTGTAGACTGATGGGGCGGTAATTGGCGGGTTGGATTTGTCCTGCTTTTTGTGTACAGAACATACTTGGTCAATTTTCCACATTGTCGAGTAGATACCAGTGTTGTAACTGTAATGGAACAGCTTGGCTAGGGGAGCGGCAAGTTCTGGAGCAGAAGCCTTCAGAATATTGCCAGGGCCCATAGCTTTTGCAGTATCCAGTGATACAACATGGAGTGAATCGAATTGGCTGAAGACTGGTATATGTAATGCTGGGGGTCACTGGAGGGGGCCAAGATGGATCATCCACTCGGACTTCGGTTTGAAGATTGCTGCGAATGTTTCAGCCTTTTACACTGATGTGCTGGGCTGTTCCATCATTGAGGATGGGGATATTTGTGGAGTTGCCGCCTCCAATGAGTTGTTTAATTGTCCACCACCATTACAACTAGATGTGACAGGACTGCAGAGCTTAGATCTGATCCGTTGGTTATGGAATCGTAGCTCTGTCTGTCACTTGCTGCTTTTGCTGTTTGGCATGCAATTAGTCCTGTTTGGTGGCTTCACCAGTTTAGTACCTCATCTTCAGATATGCCTGTTGCTGCTTCTGGCATGCCCTCCTGCACTCTTCTTTGACCCATGGTTGATCCCCTGGCTTGCTGGTAATGGTTGAGTGGGGGATATACTGGGCCGTGAGGTTACAGATTGTACTAGAGTACAGTTCTGATGTCCTTAAGCAAATCAGTATTTTAAAATCCCGGCTGTAATATTGGACAAGTCAGAGGCCCAAGTTGAGACCTGTCTTTATAGGCTAACCATTAGTTTTATTTTTGCTATTTGTTTACCCTGGTCAGTGATTGAACATGAGGCTGCCAATGTATTTTCAACACTAAAACAGGAAAGCTTAAACCTTATTACACTCCAAAGGAAATAATGCTAACTATGTCACACTCTCTTTAAGAACTAATTGTTATAAAACTGTTTCAATCAGAAATGACGATTTTACATTCAACAACAACCTTACGGTTATTCAAACTTCAGTGAAGGATCACCTTGTCTGCACTTTAAAGATCCTTGTTCAGTTGGCTTGGCTGTAATTTAGTAAATTTCTGCATCTACTCAATGCTGTTACTTTAGTTCATATCTCTTCCAGAGAACTTTAAGCTTTTAGCAAAGCTCAGTTATTTCTTAACATGACCTCAATACCTCTTAACTGAAAGACCTATTTATTGTGGTGCAAAATTAAAATCCTTTAAAGATTAGTCATTCTGGACAGACTACAAGTGTATGGCTAGCGAGTATTATTTTTGGAAGGCAATGCTTCTTCATCCATATGCTTGTAGGAAAAAACTTCACAGAAATTTGTTGGTCACAAATGAATGTTGACCTCATCCTTAATAACCTAGATGCAAGTTTTAACATGGTACAGTACTGCATTCTGCTCTACCGCCTCTCCTTTGTCTTACTGAGTGGGACTGCTCTCACGTGGTTCCCCTCTTACATAATCATAGTTGAGAGTTCAAGTCTCACTCCATTGCAGTGTTTAAAGATTTTTTTTTATACTTTTGAAGGCGCTAGCATTCAAATG